AAAATTTCAGTAGATGTTTATTTTATTTATCATATTTAAGAGCATGATAATTTTTTTTGATAAAATATAGGCAAAAATAAAGATTTTATTATGCTTGAATGTGCACGGAGTATTGTCCTACGGCGCACGGTAAAAAAAAACCCAAGGTTTTATTAAAGAATACACAAGTTTGAATTCAAAATAAAAGTTTTAAATACATAAGATTTAGATTAAAATTATCCTAATTCAATTCCACAATCAATTTTGTAGTCTTTGTAAAAATTTTAAGGCATTTGGTTGATTTTTGGCAGTTTCTCGAGCATTCGAAATGGGAAAGTGGTAAACACAACACACGAAAAATGGCGACGTTTTATGACGTTACGGCGCACCGGAGAACAGTTCAGTTTTATTTCGATGTTGTAATGACACCTTTAGAGACTTGAAATGACCATAATAGAAAAAAAGATTATAAAAATATCAAAAATATCACCATATCTTAAGTATACAAATGAAATAGGAGTTTTCTTAGCGAAGTTTTTTTTGATCGAGTCCCTGGGGAGTACAAAACATACGGTCAAACTCCTAATGTAATAGCAAAAGACGCTGTCACAGTAGACCGCCAATATGATATTTTCTATTAGTTAAATAATGGTGAGAATATTGTCCGTAACTTACTAATAAATCTTCAGAAGATCGCAGGAGGGTGCCAATTAGTTCTTCAGCTGTTTATGGAGACTAAAGAATGTGTATCAATGAAATTCCTAAATCTAAGTCGGACTCATCCAACTTCATTTTCAGCAAAGATAAAACGTGCTGTTTTAGACACTTTGACGTTATAATCCATGCGCCGTAAGGTGATACAATACATGGCATAAAATATCATAATTTGTTTATTTATGCATATATTGATCTGAAATTTGCTATGTATATTACTAAAATATGTACTAGATAATAGTGAAAATTTCAGAACGCAGTGATGTTTATTTTTCACACTAGACAACTTGTCCACGATTTTACGGGACAACCCTCGTATACGGGTAATATTAAGCAGCCTTATGCTTTGAAGTGTTAATTTCTGAAAGCTTTTAAGCTAAAATAACGAAATCAAAGCTATATAATACTGTGGTACGAAACACTTTGGTACGATCTAACAATAAATGAGTTTGCAACCTGATACTGGCTTAGTGATCCCTCGTGGTTCCCGAGCCCCTGTATTGGCCTGTAGCTGAGCTCGCAGACTTATAGGTCACTACAACTGGTGTCAGAAGTGACCGATTCTACGTCCAGTTGAAAAATATACATATCCTTTTTCTATTTTTCTTGTATTTTGATTAGCGTAAGGCAATAGTGTCGAGGAAACTCGGACATTCCCGCGTTTTGTCAAACTTGGTTTCTCGCAGTATAGGAGAAATTAATTTATCAAATGTGACAATATTACTACGCTACTATTTGACAATCATTTTTAAAATTTTATACTTCTATCTCATTCTCCATTTAGCGTCAGTGTTGATTTTTAATTTGTAAACTTGGGTACGGAAATCCATAGCTGTCACAATTCGAATTTTCTTTTTTTTTTCAATTACATACAAATTTTTGCGATATCATTCAAGCAATTTTATTTTGGAGTTTTTGTTTGAATTTCTAATTTCATACGTCATATTATTTTTGTATTCAACCCTTCAATCTTCATATAATCATATTGCATATTATTTTGTTCATGTCATTGTCTGGACCAAAAATACAAGCTTTTCTCAGTAAGCCACAAACAACACCACAAGGGTCACTGTGTCACACACCAATTCTTCTGTCAGACAGCAAAGTTTTTGCTCTTAAAAATAAGACCCCCCTGAGATTTGTCGAGTTTTGGTGCCAAAGTGGCCTGCAAACTGAAAAGGCCATAGATCAACTTGAACACAGATTGGAGTCCAGAGCCTTTGGTTCAGCACTGATTTATATTTGGCTTGGGACTTGTGACATTACCAGAAAAGAGGGGAAAATTACTCAAGTTCGCTGCTGGGACAATACTGTCGTAGATACCATTACCGCACAATACCGAAGAGCCATAACAATTGTATCCAAGTTCCAAGATATAAAAGTGAAATTCATTGAAATACCGTGGTACTCAACTGTGGCATATAATCGGCACAAAGTTCATTCCGATCCAGACTTATTCAAAAGCCAAGACATTGAAATTTGCAGGCAAGTGGAAGCTTTAAATGCAAATATTCGTGCAATAAATTCAGAAATTGGACAATCTACTTTGCGATTTAATAAGGACATAACACGCAGACGCAAGGACACAGACAATCGCAAGAAGAAGAACAACGGTGTAAGGATTTCATACAAATTTTCTGTTTTTTACGACGGCATCCATCCAGGTACAGAATTGGCCTTGATCTGGAGCAGAAGGTTGACTGAGGACATTAACAGAAGTTGTTTCAGAGTTTTACCAGAAGACATTTTGGACATACAAGTATCTGAGGAGGATTTAAAATCAATAGAATAATGCCTGCTATAAACTTGAATACTGCGTCTTATGAGGACCTAATTGAACTCGAAGGAATTGGTCAGCACAGAGCCACAGCTATCCTTAAACTACGGGAGGAAAAGGGCTTTATAACAGAGGATGACATACGCCAATTCCTACAGGGCACCTATAGTACCATAAGAACTCTATTGGATGAAGAAAAAGTTTCTCTAGACACACCACCACAGTTAATTCAGGCACTTAAGAAGGAATGGGATGACCGAATGGAAAAAATGTCGAGTGATTTTAAGGAGCAAATGAAGGCTTCGCAAGAACACTATGAACTCATGCAAACACAGTTTGAGGAAAACCTTAGAAAAACATATGAAGAAAAGTTACTGAAAATAAATGAAAATGCTGTCGGTAATTTGGCTCCACATGGTGTTTATGGTGGTGGTAATCCATGGATGAAACCTAAAATGGACATCAAAAAGGAAAACACCTCGTTACCTAGTGACAGTGTCACTGCTAATTGTGGCTGGCTTTTGTCTGGCCCGCCCAGTGGGAACACTGCTGCTAAGGTAACCACAGATGGAAATTCACAAAAAGTGAAAAGTGGACAGAAGCCCAATCTCATGACGAGTTATCAAACTATGGGTCCTCCCCCACCAAAGATGGCTACCTTCGATGGAAAATCGGAATGGAATCCATACATTGTGCAGTTCAACATGATAGCGACAAGATATAACTGGAACAATGAACAACGACTGGAACGCCTAGTTGAATCTTTGCGTGACAAAGCATTAAAGTATTACTGTACATGTTCAGCCCAAGTACAGAGCAGTTTCTCATCACTTTGTGCAAAGATGAAAACAAGATTTGGCCAGCGAGATCTCCCTCACACAATTAGGAGGAATCTCCAGGATATCAAGCAAGGTGACCAATCTGTTGATGAATTTGCAGAAAAAATCCAGGAGATGGTAAGTGAAGGCTACCCACAGGCTCCAGACTGTGTAAAAGAAACAATAGCTACTGACACTTTCCTGAAGGGCCTCGAAAATAAAAGAGCAGCACTTACAACTATGGACAAAGACCCTCCTGACCTTGAGACGGCCTTACAATTGGTAAAGGCTGCACTCAATAATCAGAGATTAATCTTAGGCGCTAAGAAGCCAGAGGTGAGGAAGGTTCGTTTTGAAGAGGATGACCTTGATAGTGACTTGGGCTTGTTGAATGAATTTGAAGTTAGACCAATACGACCCCAAAGCAGAGTAGACAAACTTTCAGAAGAAATAGCTGAACTCAAAAGTGGGCTGGAGGCGACCAACGCTAAAGTGGATAAAATCATTAACCTAATGAATAAACAACTTTCCACAAGGTCACAATCTCCACCACGGAAAACAGACAGTACTTCTAGTTCTGTTTCCAGCTCTTCACCACTCAAAGCAGCACAGTGCTTCAACTGTGGACAACCAGGTCACTTTGCTAGAGAATGCCAAAGGTCACACAGGTCCCGTTCCCCATCCCCTAGATCACCGAAGAGAGAAACCAGGACTAGTCCAACCAGTTACGACATACGAATGTATGACAACAGTCAAACACATCCATACAACTTGATGCTAGGGATCTCTATTAACGGAAAACCTGTTCAAGCTATTGTCGACACGGCAGCCCAGATAACAGTTATCAGCCAAGCTTTCGCCAACACTTTCACCCCACCCTTAGTTCGTGGAGAAAAAGTAACCATGAAGGGTGCAGGAAATTCTGACTTTATTGAGGCTAACTACTGTAAAAACATTCAGATTTGTATTGGGAACACACAAGAAGACCCAATCACCTGGACTGCCCTTATAGCTGACATATCTGATCCCGTCATATTAGGTCTGGATTTTCTAAAGGCACAAAACGCTACCATTGACCTTAATGAAATACAGATAGTCCTTGGTGGCAAACGGATGAATGCAACTCTACTAGATGCAGGAGGTAAACAAGTTCAAATAGCTAGAGTGAAATTAAGTCAAAAAGTGAGAGTTGAACCATTTTCATCAGTGCAGGTTCTTGGCCATTTGGACCAACACATAGCTGGTACTTTGGTTTTCAAACCATGTCATAATGTTAAGGGATTGCTTTCACCACATGCTTTAGTTGATAACAGTGATCAAGTGCCAGTCCTCTTGCGCAACTTGTCAACAAGACCAGTTAAACTTCAGAAAAATGTAGTGATTGGGACTGTTTCTGAAGTGGACCAAGTCGCCAATGGTGGAATACTACAAGACCACAGCAAGACAAATGAATGTTTTCCTGTCGAATTACCAGACCACTTGATAGACCTAGCAGATAGATCAACAAGAGATCTAACCTCAGAGCAAAGTCAAAGTGTTAAACACACCTTCTTCTGGAATTCCAAGACATTTTTTCTAAAGGAGACTTTGACTTGGGACTGTTCAAAGGGATCCAACACAAGATAAACACTGGCAATGCCCACCCGGTGAAATCCAAATTGAGGCGCACACCACTAGGATTCCAATCAGAGGAAGAGGAGCATCTGAAAAGTATGCTGGACAAAGGTATCATCGTTCCGTCAGTTTCTGAGTGGTCGTCAGCACCGGTCCTGGTGCGGAAAAAAGATGGGACTGTTAGGTATTGTATTGATTTTAGGGGAGTTAATAAAATCACCAAGAAAGATGCTTTCCCACTCCCGAACATGGAGGAATGTCTAGACACTCTTGGAAAAAACAACTTTATGAGCACGCTTGACATGGCACAGGGATATTATCAGATAGAGGTAGACCCTGATGATAGACACAAGTTGGCATTCATCACAAGGTATGGCCTATTTGAATTTGTACGAATGCCATTTGGAACATGCAATAGCCCTGCAACCTTTCAACGGGTGATACAGTTAGTTTTACAAGGTCTTAACTGGAAAGAATGCCTTGCTTACCTAGACGATGTCATAGTCTTAGGTCAGAATTTTGAGGAACATTTAATAAATCTAAGAGCAGTATTTGAAAGATTTAGGACCCATAACCTCAAACTAAAACCAAAAAAATGTCATCTCTTCAGGAAGGAGCTTCAATTCCTTGGTCGGTTGGTTACAGAAAAAGGGGTCAGCATCACTACCGAGAGTGTGAAATGTATGGCAGAATGGCCGACACCCAAATGCAAGAAGGACCTTGAAGCATTTCTTGGGTATGTTAACTACCATAGAGAGCATATAAAGAGTTTTGCAGAGATAGCAGCACCTCTGTACACTCTCACAGGGCCAAAGACCAAGTTTATCTGGAATAAAGAGAAGGACACAGCATTCATTTCCCTTAAAGAGGCAATGACTAACCCTGCAGTTCTGGGATATCCCTCTGATGATGGCATGTTCATATTGGACACGGATGCTTCGGACATGGCTATTGGAGCAGAACTGTCCCAGATTCAGTGTGGTAAGGAAGTCTTAATCAGTTTTAACAGCAAGACCTTGACATCTACTCAACGGAAGTACTGCGTTACTAGGAGGGAGTTGCTAGCTGTTGTAGCATTTACTCGTCACTACCGATATTATCTACTGGGCAGACCTTTCATTTTGCGGACAGACCACAACAGTCTGGCATGGTTAATTGGGTTCAAAAATATTGAGGGGCAACTAGCTCGCTGGCTAGAAGAGTTATCACAATATGATGTTACCATCCAGCACCGAAGTGGAAAGAAACACCAGAACGCTGATGGCCTCTCCAGAATGTCAACAAATGACCTGTCCTGTGACTGTTACAATGCTGGTTGTGATGTCAGTAGGCTACCTTGTGGGGGCTGCAGTTACTGTCGACGGATGCATGCTCAATGGGAACGCTTCCAGGAGGATGTTGATGATGTAATCCCCCTAGCAGTTAGGACCCTTCAAGAAACTGATAAACCAAAGGAAACACCTAACACCATAGACAAGGATGCATGTAACTGGGCTTCTGCCTTAACAGATGAAGAAATCAGAGATGCACAAATGCAAGATTTAAACACAAGTACCTTAATGAAATGGAAGGCAGAAAACTATGTTCCAACTGAACTGGACCTGTCCCTTTCCAGTAGAGCTGTAAAATACTTTTGGAACTGCTCATCGCAACTACGAATTTTGAATGGTATCCTTTTCTATGAGTGGATAGATGGCTCTATGTCCCGACTATTGCTTGTGGTCCCAAAGTCACTACAAAATTGTGTTCTAGAAGGATCTCATGACAACAAATTAGCAGGCCATATGGGACAGCAGAAAACCCTACAGAAGGTGAAATCAAAGTATATCTGGTTTGGAATGAGTTCAGATTGCGAGTCTTATGTCCGAACGTGCCCAGTATGTAATGTCAACAAGAAAGCCAATGTACATGCCAAAGCAGGCCTTGGCCAATACCATGCTGGAGCACCCTTAGAAAGAGTGCATATTGACCTGATGGGTCCATTTGTGGAGTCCGGCAAAGGGAACAAGTACATTTTAATGATAGTCGACCAATTCACCAAGTGGTTAGAGTGTTACGCACTGCCTGATCAAGAAGCTGAGACAGTAGCAACATCATTTGTGGAAGGTTTTGTATCTCGATTGGGGTGCCCTCTCCAGGTTCACTCTGACCAGGGTAGAAATTTCGAGAGCCGCTTATTTCAGGAAGTGTGTAAACTACTCCAAATAACAAAGACGAGAACCACCCCATACAGACCCTGCTCAAATGGACAGGTCGAAAGATACAATCGTCTTGTTCTCCAAGCCATCCGATGTTATATGGAAAACATCTCACAACAGAAAGATTGGGACCTACACCTCCAACAAATAGCTGGGGCAATCCGTGCCACTGTCAATCGACAAACGGGATTCACACCAAACAGAATGATGCTGGGGAGAGAAGTCTCTCAACCTTTAGATATAATGTTAGGAAGGAAGATACCAGGGCAAAACCCAGCAGGATATGTGGAAAATTTGGAGGAGGCTCTTTCAGTGTGTCATCAAGCTGCGAGGGACAACTTGGGGGAAGCACAACTCCGTCAGAAGAGGACCTATGACATAAAATCAAACACAAGAAGCTATGAGGTGGGTGATGTGGTATATATGGTGGATACCTCTTCCAAAGTAGGCCAATCGAAGAAGTTGAGGTAGCCATGGATAGGCCCTTTTGTCATTGTTTATAAGATTAATCATGTGCTATACAGAATCCAAGGGAAAAAGGAAAACAAGGTGGTCCACCATGACAGATTAAAACTTTGTCAAGACAGAGATCTACCCTTATGGCTTAAAAGGCTACGACATTCAGTTCTTCACCCAGAACCCAGTGACAAGGAATCCAAACAGCAAAATCAAGTACAGGAGGAATTACCGCAGTCCAGTTCTTACGAAGATGATGCCGTAAGCCCCACAAATGAAGGACATGAGAATGAATCATCAGATGATTTGGAGATCTGCCAAAGACCCGCTCGAAAACGACAGGCACCTAAGTGGATGAAGGATTTTTGTCTTTTGGACAATTAATCATGATGTCAATGGAAATTTTAATTAAAATTATATGTAATTGAATATCTTTTCCTTCTTATCCACTCCTCCCTCTGTAGAATTTATATGGTTTTTTTTTATTATTTGTATAATTATGCTTTTTCTTCCAGGATGTGTTCCAAATGAACTTTTATTCCCTTCTGATGATTTTTTACATGTATATAGTCAAAGTGGCTTGATTTTTCTGGCCCAGCTGACTATTTCATAAAATTAATATAATAACGCACTGTACATCTCTTAAAAATTATGAGGGGGAGGAGTGTGGTACGAAACACTTTGGTACGATCTAACAATAAATGAGTTTGCAACCTGATACTGGCTTAGTGATCCCTCGTGGTTCCCGAGCCCCTGTATTGGCCTGTAGCTGAGCTCGCAGACTTATAGGTCACTACAATACCTTACATTAATAATACAAACCGTTTTTCACCATTAAAGGAAAACAATATCTACATGTATAAAAATGTTTAAGGCTCTTAAGGCAAATATATGCGCATTCATAGAATCGTTTATTACATTTGATACAGTAAGTTTCCACAGTTCTCATTTTAATCTTTAAAGAGTCATTTTCTCGCTGGTGTCAGAAACAAAGTTTAAGAAGTTTCCATAATTAAATAATTATAAATCTTTGATTTTACCCTGAATAAATAATTTGCAAAAATCAAAAGAAAGTTTCATTTATATAGTTTTATAGATTTTTTACCTGTCCGTTCGTCTGTCTGTTTGTCTATTTGTCCGCAAAAACTTGAACCTTGCCCATAACTTTAGACTGGGTGGGACTTTCTCGATGTGTATGGTATTTCCCGTATATACAGGAAAAAGTGGTTTGTTCCCGTTTTGCACACATTTGAATTTAAGGCATAGAAAAAATGTGTGCAAAACGGGAATTTGACCAGGTGAGATAATTAGTTAATTGATATAGTCTATACCAAAGTTGGTAGATAGGGGAAAGGTGAACCTATAGAGGAGAATTGGGGGAAATTTGAAATTAAAACAACAAAAATTATTATGTACATTACAAGTTTTCATTTATTTCTTTACTTTTATAAAAAGAATAGAAATTTGTACTAAATAATTAATCATAAATAGTAATCGGTAATCGGTGTAAAGCTTTAAAAATTATTTGTTTTTCAAGAAATGACAGTCATTTTTTAAAATATTAATAAATATTAAATAAAATATTCAATAATATTTTTTGGCAAAAAATATTCATATACATTAAATTCATATTTATTCTTCCTGTGCATGATTTATAGGTAAAATACAGGTATACCCAGGTAAATCCTAACCAGAAATCAGACTATAATTGTTATCAAAACACATTTCACACCTATTGTTCTATACCTAATTAACAAATGTGTGCTTAAGTTCCTTATATACATGTAAGGTAGTTAAAAAGTATGTATTTTAAAACAGAATGCATACAGATGTATCGGTAAGAGCTAAGGGAATTGAATTATATAATTAAATTATTTGCTTTCCTTACTTCTATGCTATGTTTTTGGATTTGAAAAAAAATTTCAAAGTTTATGGTTATCAGAAATATATCATGCCGTTTTCGGAACAAAACCTTTGAATGATAAAAACACCCTAAAATATAACCATAAATTTATGCTCCTCAATGAAGAAGGATATGGAGAACACGAACAGTATTCAATATCAAATTCCATAAAACACTACAAAATAGGAGCAGAGCAAACACGGACTAGGAGCAGAGCAAACACGGACCTCCGAAACATCAGGTGCGATGGAGGAGTGACTATCCCCTGCTGACCGGTCACACCCGCCGTGTGCTCCTTGCCATGATTGGGAAATAACGAAAAATCCGTCGTCAATTCAGTGTATAAACAATGGACTAACAATTAATATGAAAAACGTCAGTCAGCATTTAACTTAATGATAAATTGTATTTGCTGACAAAGTCATTGTATCGACCATAAAACTTACGAAATAATGACTTTAAGGGAGACTGCTGATATTCTTGTTTCATCTACTTGATTGTCAATAATTTACGTCGTTTTAGAAATTGTTCATACGTAGAGCATGCTTTTGCTTATCGAATCAACTGAGATAAATAAACTCCGTATGCTGGTAATGAAGGTATATTGCTGAGTAAGGGAGGTTGACGATAGAAAAAAGTCATAACGTTTATCATATAGCTTGGTTGTTAGATTACCATTAGCGTCTTTCTCAAGTAAAATATCCAAGTATGAAAAAGATGTGTCAGGCTCTGTGGTATCTTTTATCTCAAACTCACCAGGATATATCGTATCGACGTAGGAATGGAAATTACCATTGTTAATTGAAAATACGTCGTCGATATATCTAAATGTCGAGTTGAAGGCCACAGCAAGTGTTTTCTACTTTTCACGCGTAAGATTTTGCACAAATTCTGCTTCATTTGAATATAAAAATAGGTCTGCTAATAACGGAGCGCAATTGGTACCTATGGGAATTCCAATAGATTGTTGAAGACCTGGTCTCCAAAGACCACATAGATATTGCCAATTACAAACTCAAACATCTTTTTGATATCAACTTCAGAGTACTTGTGTGTGCACTCAGAATGTGTTTTAACAAAATAATTTTGCAAATGACTAACAATCACGTAAGTAAATTTATGAGTAACATTTTTATTGAAAAAGCACCTGTCAATGATATAAAAAAAAGCCTGGACTTTAACTTATCGTGGGAAATGGTTGTGTATAAGCTTGAAAAGTCGTAGGTTTTTAGGCTGTGAAAGTGAAATGAAAGTTTTCACTGGGATTCTGCAAGCCAAAAATAAATCCATACTAGATACATTGATTGTGATGCTACGATTAAGATATGCAATCAAACATATGTTGGAAAAGATTAAAGTACAAAAAAATCCCCCCTACTTACATTTGAAGTATGAAAAAATATCAAGAGACACAGATATGAGGTTTTATAGTATATAAAAGTAGGGGGTCAAATTTCTATGGGGGTCATTTTTCAACGTGTGTGGAGTCGTAGAATTACTGGTCTGGAATGTTTTTCTACAGTCGAAAAATGACCCTACTTGTCGTAGAATATTTACCCGGAGTCATTTTTCTACGTAGAAAAATGACCCCCTGGTCAATATTCTACGGGGGTCACTTTTCGTCGTTACACCGGCTTATGTCATCCTGTTCAAGGCAGGAAGTTGACCCCATAGTCGCCATTTTAAAGTTACGTGCAAAAATATATTTCTTACTCTCAACCGCTTTTGAGATAATACAAACGCTAAATAAAACTACAAAAATAAAACGAAGTTTAATCTATATAAATAAACATTAGTAGTAATGACTTTGAAAACTTCAGTCCCAAGTCAAAGAACATAGTTCATTAGCGTAAGGATTTTTGATAACCAGTGTTATCGTAGTTCTCTACACATGCGAGGTAAAGCAGGAGAGGGAACCAGACTGGCCTGTTTGTTTACATTCAGCTGCGGTACCAGTTGAATTCTGATTCTGACAAAATCGGACCGTGGTATTAGGATTGAAAAACTCACCGTCAGTGTCTTATCATTTATATCGATAGTTTTAGAATAATTTTTTCATCAAAATATAACCGTGATTCATATAAGAAATTCATTCTACTCTGTAAATGAGCCCGGCTCTCTGTACTTCTGAGTACTTTGATTAACCATCTGCCTTTCCTCACTAAAACGATCAATCCAATCATTTATTGAATTTATAAGAATAAATTTTACAGTCGTTTGTTGAAGGAGTCACAAACAAGGAGCAAAACTTTACTCAGCATATGCTTTTGATAGAACTTGTGTATGGCTATGTGTGTACCAATTTTTTTTAATCTGAATTTGTAGATTTAGAGAAAGTTCGCGAACTTTTTGATCACCCCACGTACTTAGAGAGTGTAATTTTCGTTGAAAATTAAAATGCTGATTTTACAGTTTTAAACGAGATATTCTTAGGCTTCAGTTATAGTGTAGCTATAACATGATAAACAGGGGCTACCGATATTGTCTTGACCATGTAATATGTGTGTGCACTACAGAAATGATACGTAAATCCCTTCATTATTTTTATGTCGATTCCGTCTTTGATAAAAATTTTACATACTTTGTGGACAACAGCAGTGAGGGTTATAAACCCTCTTAATTTTACCATATGAATGGCACATAGTAGTCTCTTAAAGATTGAATGGAAGCCGAAGTTAGTATTGATCAAACTGTTTAGTGCAAATTTGAGAAATGCATATTCGAGTAGAGTTATAAAGTATGATTGGGTCGATAAGAGAACTGAGTTACATAAGCTTAAGGTTCATATAAATATTCATTTCTCGTCTTTAAAAACACAGTAAACAAGTACGTAAACTAATAAACGTTTTGGAAAAACGCTCAATTCCCAAGTTGACTTTTAATAAATGAATCAGAGCAATCTTTGAAGATCTCTTCATCTCAAAGAAAAAGACTCAAAAACTGGAGCACGAGTCTTATTCAACAGAAATAGTCAAGTATTTAAGAGTGATTTTGAATTCAATCTACGTAAACGAGCTGAATTCACTTTCACGATCATGGTCCCTTTTTTAAGGTTAGATATGGATGACAAACGTTCGACTGAAACTTTTGATAAACTTGATAACTCTAGTGTGCTATTGTCAAATTCCTTTATCGATAGAGTAATGATCCAATATCTTTTGCATTCAATATTTATACAAGTTTATTTCCAAGGAGAGTCCATATTCTTCCCACGATAGAATATATTATAATAGTAAAGAGTATGGATAATACATAAGCAGAATTTTGAAAAGTAGTGTAAAATATCAACTCTTGATTAATCTAATGTGTAAGCTGAGACCGCATATTTAATTAAATTTTCTTCAAGATTCCACAATTCGGAAACCGTAGTATCCTGCTTGTATATTAACTGATTTCGCATGCTGAAAGCTTAGATATACTTCATCAAGTTTTTTTGTTGCAGAAACTATAAGTAAACTTAAGTTTCCGCAAAGAGTCAGCC